CATTTTAAATCACATAAATGAACATAATAAATAATAATTAATTATTATTTTAAATAATTTAATTTAATTTTAGCTATCCTATTTCACAGCTGCTAAATAGGCATTTCACAGCTGCTGGACTATTAGGCATTAAGGTGTTATAATATATATATATATATATATATATATATACATTACTGAAAAGCTGCTTTGACTCTGTGTATTGTGAAAAGTGATATGCAAATAAAATTGTCTTTTGACTTGACAATTTACTGCTTAGAACACATTGTGTTTGGCGTACTCTACCTAGGACAGCAAGATATTTTCCTCTGTCGACATAGGCTGCGTTTACACTGGCACAAAAAATCCGATCTTTCGCTCCCATCTGACACAGATCGCTACCTCTAACGAGCTAAAATAGTCTAACAAATTTAAATTACCGTTATTTTCCGGTCTTTATTCGTTCAGTCAGGTTTTGTGCTGCATTTTCAAGATGGTGTAAAACATCCAATGTCTTCAGAAAGTATTTAGACCCCTAAAAATGGGCCTCTTATATGCATTCAGGCTTTTCATGCAGCACTTTATAGCAGCGACTTTGTCAGCGATTGCAGCATTGAGTTGTCTTGTTTCTTCTAGCAGACAGCCCACTGGGATTTGAGCTGTTTCTCTGTCTGATTGAATGTGGACTACTGTCTGTCATTATTGATGGTGTCCAGCTTAAAGCCATGGCAGGACCGTTCAAGTACAGTCAGGAATCTGTCCTGAAGCACTGAGGTGGCTGTTTGCTCCTGTACAGGTGCATCTCAATAAATTAGAATGTCATGGAAAAGTTCCTTTATTTCAGTAATTCAACTCAAATTGTGAAACTCGTGTATTAAATAAATTCAATGCACACAGACTGAAGTAGTTTAAGTCTTTGGTTCTTTTAATTGTGATGATTTTGATTCTAATTTATTGAGATGCACCTGTATATCACTGATTCTTCGACATGGTTTGGGGGATTTCTTGTAAATATAGTGCCATTGACAACAATGGAGGTAGCTGTGCTTCTGCAGCCCCAGAATGATTTGTCTTATTAGTCTTATTTATAGCTTATGACAACATAAGTAGATAGTACACCAGGGCTCTGAATCAGTTCAAGGAACAAACAAAATTTTGAAAGGAACAGGAACAGAAATGGAAATGGAAATTTTTATAGTTTCATCAAATTTTATAGTTCCGAACAGAATCGAAAATTTGAAATGGCCATTAACCGGTTAATAATGTTGTTTTATCGTTCCATTTAATATTTGAAATTTGTTGACAACCAATCACGAATTCCAGGAGTACGGCCTATGCAAATGTGATGCTGATGCATCCAACGAGTGAAATGCCCGCGCTCAGCTGTGAACTCATCATAGGTAAGTCGCAATGGCAATGCACCGGCGTTAGAGTTTATCCGAGGATAGTGTAAGATGGATTCAACAGATCACATGCACGCACCTGCAGCGCGAACTGTGAAGGGAGAAAACAGAATAAAACTATAGGCTAACATAACAAGGAATATATAGGCCTATACACAAAATATATTTCACTAAAATCATTAACAGATTAACAAAACGAAAGAAAAAATGTGCTTAGTTTCGGTTTGTGACGCTATTCAAAGATCCCGGAAAGGAAAACGAAACGGCAGAAAGAAATTTTCTTTATTTTGCAAAAGCTTTACGGTTTTAGGCCTATTTATTTTGCAAAAGCTTGATAGTTTTGAATGATTCTATCTGTGCAACCAGCATTGGTATGACTATATCGCACCGGTGCCCCACATGCACACAGACACAACATATTTTTGGCCAATGAAAGCTGCCATGAATTCCAGACCTTCAGCCGTCAGTCTGAAGGTCTGGCTACGCGAGACTAGCCTTAACTTTAGAGGATTTGTTGTGGAGAGAAGGGAACTAATAGCTCTGTTTATAATGTTTGTAAACATGTTGCTTTATCAGTATCTTAGCCTACATTATGTTATTTATGAATGTAGCCTAATAATAAAATGCGACGTGTATACGCGACTTATGTTAGACTTATGCAGTCTAACATGTGTTAATGCTTAGTTTAAAAAAAAACACGTTATTTTTCACATAATTTAACTTTATTCCACATCACTCTGTCCCTTCTCTGAGAAACGGGCTGATCTTTTCCTGTTTTTATGAAGCCCCGCCCTCAGAAATAGGCGATGGGCTCTGATTGGTTAGCTAGCCCAGTGTGTTGTGGTTGGCTAAACTGCCTCTAGTGCGCATCTAATCGTTCCGCCCCTCACCTCAGCGGCATGTGCTCCGGTTGTATTGTAAACAACGGCGCCATTAATTTCGATTATCAGTTTGAGCCCGATTGAGAAGTTGAGGATATTATTGAAGAGGATCGTGGCCCCCTTTACTGCCTTTTCCCCGAGGGCGGGGTTTATCTGGGTTTGTGATGTCACAAACCCGGGTAGCAACTCATTGTAGTCCCTACCAGCCGTTTTGGTAGGCATTAAACCGCCAGAATTTTAAAAGACGATATCTCCGTTTGCATTGAACTTTCAGCTTCGTAACTTTGTCGATATTGTTTATGCTCAAACAGCAACATTGCAAACTAACTAACATTAAGAAATTGAAATCGCAATCAACCACCCCTTTAACAGATATTTTTCTTTTGTTTAGTAGCCTACATTTGGCCAAAATCTAGAAAAGATGATGCTGTATTGGCTCTATAAGCTAGCGGGTTAAGATACCAGATGTCTTCCCGTTTTTTTTTTTGAGTAAAGAAAATGTTGTACTTTATTATTATTATTATTATTATTATTATTATTATTATTATTATTATAGGCAAAGGAAATTTTTTAAAAATGACGTTATTAATAGGGGTGTAACGATTCATCAATATGGATCAATACATCGATACGATGTCTGACGATACGATGCATTGATGCCACGCGTAAAATATCGATATCTGTAGTATAAATAGGCACCTTTGTTTTGGCGCTGTCCACATTTTCACATGATGTCCGTCTATGCATTACCGCCAACTCGTTCAAACACACGTATCAGGACTGGATATAAGGACTGCCCGAAGGCACAAGGTGAGCATAAAAGACACTCGGGATTGTTGGCGGAACAGTCGAGCGCTGTGTGAGAAGTTTTCTGCGCACACATCTGAAGCGCGCGCAGGCACACAGACAGCCGTGTCTACACCGCGCGAATACTAAATTGAGCTCTCTTCCGCTTTTTTGTGCATGGATGAATAAATACAGACAAAATTACATCAAAATGCGCGTTTTGGCGAATATCCTTGTGAGCACAGTCGGTTAGGCATATGTCTTAACCTAAACAGTTGAGAAAGAACAGGCATGTGTATCAGTATATTAAACCCGTGCTTTCGTTCTTAAAGTGAAAGCAAACTAATAATAAATATAATGCTGTCAAAGAAAAATACAAGTGCTCACTGCTCCTGACTAAATAACCTTTGTAACATCAAAAATGATTAATCTATAGTTAATTTATACAGTGAAGACTATGCAGTTATTTTACATTTGATTATTTGATTATTACATTTCTGTAGCGTACCTGAAAATTTCTTTTAGACTGGGCTGAAAAACCTGAAAAGCACTGTTTATTGAACTTGTGTCTTTGTTCTATTGTATTTATTTTCTGCTATTGCTTGTAATTTGGTTATCTGTAGAAAAGATTTTTAGCACTGAGCCCATAGTAGCAGTCAGAATTGTTCTTCCAATTGTTTATTTTCTTTATTGTTAAAACAAAAAAAGAAAAAAGTGTAGGCCTATTTTTTGTTGTGAATGTCCCAATTGAGGTACAGGATGTGAAAATTTCAGATAAATGTTCATGTTATATATTTTGGTTGCATTTGTGAGTTAATAAAAATGTAGATGGTTGTTTAAAATAGGTATATAATATCATAATACCGATATATTGATCGATATACTCCTGTATCAAATCAAATCGTAATCGTATCGTATCGTAGAATTTTTTTTTTAGGTATCGGCAAATATCGTATCGCTGGGTATGAGAATCGATATCGTATCGTATCGTGACGAACCATCCGATTTACACCCCTAGTTATTAACTGGTATTTTTTCTACTCAAACCAGTTTTGGAATGGTAATAATTAGAGCCCGACCGATATGGGTTTTTTGGGTCCGATACCGATACCGATATTAGGGAGTAAAAAA